GCTCACCTGTGGGCTCCATTGGTCATGGTGAAGCCTTCACCTGTGCCTGCTTACCTGTGGGCTCCTTGGGTCATGGTGAAGCCCTCACCTGTGCCTGCTCACCTGTGGGCACTGTTGGTCATGGTGAAACTCTCCCACCTAGTCAGCTCACCTGTGGGCTCTGTCGTCATGCTGAGCCTCCTTACCTGAGCTTGCTCCACCTGTGGGCTCCATTGGTCATGGTGAAGTCCTCACCTGTGCCTGCTCACCTGTGGGCTCCATTGGTCATGGTGAAGCCCTCACCTGAGCCTGCTCACCTGTGGGCTCCATGGGTCATGGTGAAGTCTTCACCTGTGCCTGCTCACCTGTGGGCTCTGTTGGTCATGCTGAGCCCCCTTACCTGAGCTTGCTCCACCTGTGGGCTCCATTGGTCATGGTGAAGCCTCCTGTCTCCAGCTGCTGAATGTGCATGGCCAGGAGGCGGGCTGAGGGCAGGGTGGGCTGGGCTCGAAAGCGCCGACCTTCCATCAGACACAGGCTGTCGCTCTTCAGGAACACCTGGTGGCCCAGCCAGGGGTGTCAGCAGAAGTCAGGGCAGCTGTGTGCTGGGTGTGGGGCTGCTGCACTGCACTCTGCACATCTAGTTCAACATGACCTGGGCTCCTGGACTGAGGGTTGTAAGCCTGGACGCTGATGCCCTGGGCACAGAATGCCGACAGCCAGAGAGCTCTGAGCTGCTGGTTCTCTGCTGGGTTCCTAAAGAGCCCGGGGCCCACCTTCCCAAATGAGACCCCTGGGGGCAGGTAGTGCAGCCCCATGATTGTGTTCGCAGTGAGGACACACCAGCCCCACCACGTGGATGCTCTCGGGTGTCTGCCATAGGCTGACAGTTGAGGCTCTTGCTGCCTCACTTTGGAAAAGTCCAGGTCACTTCAACAGTGTTTTCTACTTAGTATCCTCCGGGGCCACCTGGGTGCCCAGAAGCAGGTCTCTCAGTCAGCCAGGCTCAGGTCCCGCTTCCAACCTTGGTTGGTGCCCAGTGCCAGGAAGGCAGCCCAGCCAGGCCATGTGACCTGTCAGGTGGGGCCCCTTGGCCTAGGTGACCAGGCTGTGTCTGGGGTCCTGACATGGGCTGTGTGGGTGGGTGCCCTGCAGGGTGTGGAGTAAGGCCTTAGGTTGGAAGCTCTGTGGTCAGTACCTCCACGGCTTTCAGCTCCTCCAGGACCTCTGCGATCTTGGCAGGCAGCATTCTCCAGGCCTGCAATGGAAGCGCAGGTGAGACCCCTGCGGGCCATGTGCCTTCCACCCACCCATGGCCATGGCCCAGGTGCACGCACGGGAGACTGCCTCACAGCCAGGTTCTCTAGCCCACCCAGGATCTGCATAGCTGTGGCGAAGTTCCTCTGCTCATAGCAAGACTTGGCAACCAGTAGAAACTTGGACAGCACGTTCACCTGCAGCTGAAACAAGGAAGCAACAAGTTCAGTGTCCGGGAGCAGCGGGGGTGGGGTGGGCAGCTCAGTGGAGAGGCTTGCCCGATAGGCACAGGCCCTGGACTCCACCCCCAGCACTGTAGAACTGGGCCCAAAGAGAGAAGCAGACGTGGTGAACAGGTGAACCCAGGTTCAAGGCACAGAGTGGTATGGCTGGGTTATTTGTACAAAAAGAAGGTGGGTGGGGTACACAGGTGTATAGTGGTGGCGGCTGTGGGGGCTCTGCTGGCAGTGGGGTGGGCTTCGCTTGACCAGCCAGCTCCCACCAGTGTTCTCTGCAGTCTGGCGTGGTCCCTCCATCCCTTGCCTCCATTCCCTCCCTCCGCCCCCTCCTTCTCTCCCCTCCCTCTGTCCCCTGCCTCTTTGAGTCCTGTCCCCTGCCCATCTCTTGCCTCCAGCAATGGTGGCTTCTCACACCTTCTCAGCACACACCACGTGGCTGCATTCACGGACCCACTTCCAGCCACTTGGAGACCTGGAGAATCTGGCTCGTCCTTGGTTTCCGAGCTGCCCTGCCCTTGTTGCCAACCTGGGCACCCTTCAGGTGGGAACAGGACGTGTGCTGGACACCTTGCACCAGGTGTGACCAGGTCTGCTTTGGTCCTGCCTGGCGAGGGTCAGCGCTACTCCAGGAAGTCCTTGGTGACCAGTTCTGCTGTGGTCCTGTGGGGTAAGGGTGAGCCTTGCCCCAGAGGTCCTTGGTGACTAGCCTCCGGCTATCAGCTTGAGCCTCTTAAAGAGTCTTCAGAGACTCACTTGCTCATGATTTGTAAGTTATCATCTCAATTTTATTCTTCATAGATACAAGGTATATCATTTCCAGTGTTTTCAGATAAAAATCATTCTATCAGTTTTTTTGTTTTTGATTCTTTTCCCCTCAATGCTGAGGATCAAACCCCAAAACCCCAGGGCCTCACTCCTGCAGGCCATCACTGGACCACTGAGCCACATCCCCGGTCTTGTTTTTAATTGTAAAAACGCATAGTTATGGCTGTGGTGGTACAGTCTGTAATCCTAGGGACTCGGGAGACTGAAGCAGGAGGATTGGGAGTTTGAGGCCAGTATGGGCAATTTAGTGAGACCTTGTTTCAAAATAAAAAAGGGCTGGGGATGTAGCTCAGTGGTAAAGTATCCCTGGGTTCCGTCTTCAGCACAGGAAAACCACAGTAGAACACAGAGTTGTGATGTTCCCTGGGCTGTCCTCAGGAGTCCTGCCCCAGCATCCCACACAGCCAGATGCTCTGTTAAGGAAGCCTCTTCCTCCCCGGCCCCTGGCGGCCCCCCCCCAGCCTTGTGCCTGGGGCTTGGACCCCCAGGTGCTGCCCTTGCTCATGAGGGAGCCTGCAGGCACTTCCCTTCTGTCTGGCTCTGGCTCCTGTGTTCTGTCCTCGGGCTCTTCCACCGTGGGGTATGCCAGAACTGCCTCCCTTTCAAGGTTAGATGGTGTTTCTGGACGTGTGTCCTCATCTGGCCTCCATCTATGGACACTCAGCCCTGGGCTAGTGGGACCAGGGTCGCGGGCCTGCCAGGCAGGGATTCTCCACTGAGCTACATCCTCAGCCCACTCCAATAAAATAGAAATCCTATTCTGCTTTCAAACCTACCATTATTCATCTAAGAAAAAGACAGTGTGCATTAAGGTGAGAAATTTCACACCGTCTCTTGTCTTTCCACCCCTACCTCAAGCATGAGGTAGAGTGCCGCTGGTGGCCAGCAGCCTCTCTGGCTGGGAGGGGCTCAGAGGGGACTGTCTATCAACAAGAGCTAACGTTGAGTCCATTATGCTTTCTGTCAATTTCTGTATTTTAACAATGTTCTGGGAACATAAGTTTGCAAATGTAAAACTCAGCTTTGTTCTGAGTTATAGTTCTGGCACCACAATAAGTAAAATGCAAAGATGTCAAAACCATATAGATTTCAGATTGTGCTGAGCACACCGGATAGAGAGACCCTTGTAATTTTGCAGGAAACACTGCCCTGGGGAGACTGTGTCTGTGTCCTGTCTCAGAGAATTGTTCCTTTCAGGGGGTTCTGCTCCTCCCAGATGGTTCTGCTCCTTCCCTGGTGGTTCTGCTCCTCCTGGTGGTTCTGCTCCTCCTGGTGGTTCTGCTCCTTCCCTGGTGGTTCTGCTCCTCCTGGT